ACTCACCTCAGCCTCCCAAAGGCACAGGATTACAGGCTGAGCCACCGAGCCCAGCTTATTAATTTATTCTGAGTTGGAGTCTCACTCTACTGCCCAGGATGAAGTGCAGTGGCATCTCAGCCTTCCAAGTTGCTGGAACCACAGGCGCTTGCCACTATGTCCAGCTAATTTTTTAAAAAAACTTATTGTAGAGACGAGGTCTCACCATGTTGCGAAGGCTGATCTCAAACCCCTGAGCTCAGGCAGGGGTTTCTTGCCTCCACCTCCCAAAATGCTGGGATTACAGACATGAGTCACCAAACCCAGCCTGTTTTAAACAGTTCACAGAGAAGGGGCCTTAATATATGCATTGGTTACAGGTACATTAAAAAAAGTGTACCAAACCCAGCCTGTTTTAAACAGTTCACAGAGAAGGGGCCTTAATATATGCATTGGTTACAGGTACATTAAAAAAAGTGTACCAACAAAATATAACAGAAAAATGTGTTCAAGAGATGGCATAGCTATACAAAATAACTATTCGTGTTAAAAACAGTATTTCTGATGAATATTTAATTAGAAGAGAAAATGTCCATGATAGTATAGTAAGTGAAAATAGCAAAAGAAGATATAAAACTATATCAGGTAAACCCAATTACAAAATATTGATGAAGCCAGGCGCAGTGGTTCACGCCTGTAATCTCAGCACTTAGGGAGGCGGAATACTGCGCCAAGCCAAAGTCTCTATTTTTAAAGCAAATTAATTATAATAACCTAAGTTTATGGAGTGATTTGAGTTTTTGAGATGAAGTTACTTAAATGATTTTTAATTTTCTTCTTTTTTGCCAGGCAAGATAATTAAGAAGTTGGCAGGTACTCCCTCAGGTACCCTCCCACTGTGTGAGCTTTTCTGTCGTCTCAATAAATTCTGCTTTCAAAAAAAAAAAAAAAAAAAAGAAGCTGCCAATCATGCCTGTAATCCCAGTACTTTGGGGAGGTAGAAGCAAGAGGATTGCCTGAGCCCATGGGTTTTAGTCTAGCCTGGACAACATAGTGAGACCTCGTCTTTATGTAAAAAAATTAGGTGGCTATGATGGCACACACCTGTAGTTCCCCAGGCAAAAGGATCACCTGAAGGATCACCTGAGCCCAGCAGGTCAAGGATTTGGTCGCCGTGAATGTGATTCTGCACTTTAGCCTGGGCGACAGAGTGAGACTCCAATTCAAAAAAAAAGGGGGGAGAGGGGGCTGGTTGACTTGGAAATTTATTTTGTCCTATATACTCATTATTTTTGAATTTTGTACCATATATGTATATTACACATTAAAAATTAACATAAAAATTAGTTCTACTGTGAATTCTATTATTATAAATTTAATTCAATGATTACCACAGTCAGTTGAGATATGATAAAGTATTACTCCAATCTGGCAAACAGCAGAAGGAGGCATGGAAACATTATACAGCAGGTGTGATCCCAAATTAAGAATACATAGCTGATAAAAAGGAAATGGTATAATATAATCAAAAGAGTACTAAGAAAACTTGTGTTCTAGGCACAGCTCTGTCATCAACAAGTAAATAACCTGAGATAAGTACTTAAGATACTTGTGCCTCAGTTTCCTCCTATGCAAAATTAACGCATGGAACATTCTAAGTCCATGACTTAAAGATCCAAACACTAGCCTCAATATTTCAGTCATATCAGCTAACCTGCCCAAAATCCACAGTACTCTAGGACTGAGTAGATGTCAGGTCCTAGGGCCTTTTCTCATATCTTGCCTTTGTAAATAAAAGAAAAAAAAATCCACTGTCTCAATCTGATGTTGCAAATAATTTTATGGTGAAAAAAACTCCATAAATTCTTTAAGTCTTATTTAGTTGAAGGGTCAGCTTGCAGAGATAAGTATTTTCCAACATGAACACTGACACTTTAATGAAATAAAAATGAGCAAGTGACACTTAAAAGCATCAGAATCACAGCTTCATGATTTGATCCTCAAATGCCATCAAGTCCACCATCCTCATTTAGAAAAATAAAAAAAGTGGCCAAGAGAGTTTGCCTACAGTCACATAGATACCTAGTGCCAAAATATCATGAGAAACAGTTTTCTTTTTTTTTTTTTTTTTTTGAGTTGGAGTCTCACTCTGTCACCCAGACTGGAATGCAGTGGCCCTCCTGGCCACTGCAGCCTCGACCTGCTGGGCTCCGGTGATCCCTCCACCTCAGTCTTCCAAGTAGCTGGAACTACAGGTGCACACCACCACACCCGGCTAATTTTTGATTCATTGTAGAGATGAGGTCTCACTAAGTTACCCAGGCAGGTCTCGAACCCTCGGGCTCAGGCAATCCACTCACCTCAGCCTCCCAAAATGCAGGATTACAGGCTGAGCCACCGAGCCCAGCTGAGAAACAGTTTTCTAATTCCAAGATCAATAATCTTCTCACATAAACATGTTAGCTCATTTCCACATGAGAAAATCAAACCAGCAACCCATACTCTATGCCTCAGTTTACACTTTTGATATGTACATTACATTATAAGCAAAACAGGAAAAAAATAAACTATCAAAAAAATCTTAAAATATCATCACAAGGTCACTTACAGCACTCAACAGGTATAGAAGCTATCTGAAGAGAAAGGACTTTTCCGTTGGACTGTGGGATATGTACACGAAACACAAGTCGAACTCTAGTATTCTTTCTGCCAATATCAGTTTCTCCTTTTCGAAGTTCTATATCTGAATTGCGGAGTTTCAAAATACCTGCACAGTCAATACTAAAAAGAAAAATATGAAAATTTAATCTGCTTATTGATAATCATGGTTCTAAACAACTTAACTACAGAGATATTGTTAATTTGTCAGGAAATAACTATTTACTCAAAATCAGGTCAAAAAAGGGAAGATTTGTAGGATTATTGTTTTCTGCTATTTCAGTTTATGGATTAAAAATGTTGTTATATGATAAAACAACAACAGAAAGTATGGTAGATTGTTTGCAAAGACGGCTGTCAATAATTCCTCCCCATTCCTATATTTGCATGCATCTCCTCCTGCCATTAAGAAGTGGATATCTGTGTCTCCCCTCCTTAAAAGTCAATCTATGACTTACTCTGATGAGCGTCCAAGTGAAAGTTATGAGCCTAGCACTTAAGAAGGCTGGTAACTTCCACTTTTGCTCTCTTGCAGCCCTGAGTTACCATGTAAGAAGTCCAACCAGCACGGTGGAGGAAAAAGGTCCAGACAATCCCCAACCACTCCAGCCATCCTAGTCATCCTGGATGTTCAACCCTAGCTGAGATACCACTGAATCCAGGTGCATGAGTGACCTCAGCTGATACCATGTGAATGGCCCAACTAAGCAGAGTGAACCCAAAGAAGCAAGCAAAATGCTAAAAAGAGTTATTACTATAAGCCATTAAGTTCTAGGTTGTCAGAATTAGGCAAGTAAAACATAAAGACTTTTTAATTCTACATATATAGATCAGAAAAGATTCACTTGCAGAACTACAAATACATCATCAATAATATATTTAGACTTTTAAAGTAATGTGTTTATTAATAAAAACAATTCATCAGGCTAACAGTCTTACATTTCTAAGGAATGCACACATAAGATTAAGGTTCTGAAGGTCTAACATTTCATCATCTTCAAAATTTATTACTAAGCATGACTGCTTAACATATTATCATAGTAGAAAACAAGAGTAATTACAAAATATCTTTGGTATTTACATACTGGAAGAAAAAGAAAGTAAATATTTATGATCAAATACTTTAGATAATTAAAAGTTTACTCACTCTGAGGCATCCCTTGTCATCTATCCTTTTACTGTACCTACCAACAGTTCCAACCCTAATGCTTATTGCACAGATGCTGCAGAAGTCACTTTGAAGGACACTGTATTATATTATAGAACTAGGATATCAAGATAAGAACCAGTAAAGGAAAAGAAAGGATCCCAAAATGAATTTTTTCTTCTTTTTTTTTGAGTAGGAGTATCACTCTGTCACTCAGGCTGGAGCACACTGGCATGCTCATAGCTACTGCAGCCTTGAATTGCTGGGTTCATGTGATCCTTCCATCTCGGTCTTCCAAGTAACTGGAAACATAGGCATGTACCATCACGCCCAGCTAATTTTTAAAAATTTTTATTTATTGTAGAAAGAAGGTCTTGCCAAGTTGCCCAGACTGGTCTCAAGCTCCTGGACTCAAGCAATTCTCTCACCTCTGCCTCCCAAAGTGCTGGGATTACAAGCGTGAGCCATTGCACCCAGCTCCAAAATGAATTTTTGAGCCACTTCAACATTTTCATCTTGCAAAAGACACAAAAGACATGTTTAAAACAAAACTTTTTAAAAATAAACATTTGTCAGTTTTGAAGCCAGGCACAATGGCTCATGCCTATAATCCCAGCACATGTCTACAGGCATGCTCCACCACACCTGGCTAATGTTTGTGTTTTTTGTAGAGACAAGGTGTCACTATGTTGCCCAGGTTGGTCTTGAATTCCTGGGCTCAAGTAATCCTCCTGCTTCGGCATCCCAAAGTGCTGGGATTGCACTCGGCCATAAATTATTTTGAACAATCGTCCTATCCATCACCTGGGAATTTTATGTCTACCGTTATCTGAAAATATATTATATTCTACCACTGTACTGAATGTAATATCATTATATTCAAAAAGTTACAGGATACTAGCTCATCCTAGTATTTAGCTATAGAGAAAAAGAGGCTCATTCAGCATTAGGTACCCTGTAAATCTGCAGTACATAAAAAATATTTCTTAGGTTTGGGAAACTTTCAAGTTGTCCCTTAATCCTTTCTCCAACACACAATGCTGCCACAAGCTGTGGGTCCTACAGAACTTCTGTTCCACAATCTACACAACAGATAGAATGGCAAAAGAAGTTTCAGGGTGTTTGAGACCAACCAGGGCAACATAGTAAGATTCTGTCTCTACAAAAAATTTAAAAAATTAGCCAGATACATTGCCAGATGCCTAGAATCCCAGCACTTTCGGAGGCAGAGATGGAAAAATTGCTTGAGGCCAGGAGTCTGAGACCAGCCTTAGAAACAGAGAAACCTCATACCTCCAAAAAATAAAAAATTTAGCTAGGTGCATTGGGTGCATGCCTGTAGTCCCAGTTATTCAGGATGCTGAAGCAGGAGGACTGCTTGAGCCCTGGAGTTCAAGGTTACAATGAGCTATGATAGTTCCACTAAATTTCAGCCTGGGTGACAGAGTAAGATCCTGTCTCTTAAAAAAGTGATAAAAAATTGGCTGGGCTCAGTGGTTCAGCCTGTAATCCCAGCACTTTAGGAGGCTGAGGCAAGTGGATTGCCTGAGTCTGAGGATTCGAGACCAGCTCGGGCAACTTGGCGAGACCTCATTTCTAAAATAAAATTAAAAATAGCCAGGCGTGGTAGCGCGCACCTATAGTTCCGGCTACTCAGAAAGCTGAGGCAGAAGGATCGTTGGAGCCCAGAAGGTCGATGCTGGGGTGGCCGTGAGTGTGCGTGCCACTGCACCCCAGCCTGGGCAAAGGGGTGAGACTCCAACTCAAAAAAAAAAAACGGAAACAGAACAAGCTTCTGGTGATTTTCTATTTAAAACTTGATTTATCAAGTATAGTGCTTGATTAAAGGAGTAAATGGAAACGTGGCCTGCAAATTGTCCCCTAGGAAACAATTTTCTGAGTTCATAGAAAAATATAGTTCAAAGCTGAGTTTAAAATTTTTCTATACAGCTGACTAATTATATGCTTCTGATGTTATCTGGAAAAGTACAATCGTAGAGTAAAAGGATTGCACTCACATTAAGAGGTTGGTTAACTCACCTTATTTGAAATGTATCAAATAGGATGCCTGGAGTCCATGTTTTCCTCTAGAAAGAGTTTTGGTCAAGTATTTGAACAAATACTGGCTGAGATTCCAAAATTCTTCAAATATCGGGGGGGGGGTGCCAAAAAACGTACACACATTTTAAGCAATGTTATCTATGTATTACTTTTAGCTTGCTGTAATCAGAAGTGTCTCGACCTGATGGTAAACACTTTGAATACCTCTTGTAATTGCAGAAGTCAAATGTGACTTGTATTCATCTTTTGTTATTGGTATATATTTAGTATTACAATTTTTTCCTTTCTTGTTCTTGTTCTTGTTCTTTTTTTTTTTTGAGTTGGAGCCTCACTCTGTCGCCCAGGCTGGAGTACAGTGGCACACTCCACGCCATAGCAGGCTTGACCTGCTGGTTCAGGCAATCCTTTCACCTCAGCCTTCCAAGCAGCCGGAACTACAAGCATGTGCTACCACGTCCAGCTAATTTTTTTATTTATTGTAGAGAAGAGGTCTCACCATGTTGCCCAGGCTTGTCTCGAACCCACGGGCTCTGGCAATCCCCTCACCTCGGCCTCCCAAAGTGCTGGGATTATAGGCTTGAGCCACCGCGCCCAGTCTAATTTTTTCCTTTCTTAAAATATGTATACATTTTTTGGCACCCTCTATATTATACAACGCAAAAATTTAAGAGTAAAGATTATCAGCTAACTGCCTGCCTTTGCTATGAAAGAACTCCTCTGTAGTCCCTATTTAATGATTTGCTGAATACTGTCCGTTTGAACCAAAACAGGCAAAAATAAGATTTTATTTAAATTTATATTAACTTTACTTTTCTGGTAGTAAGTAGGTAATAGAATAAGTTATTTATGGAGGCAATTTCTTATTTATTTATTTTTTTGAGTTGAAGTCTCACTCTGTTGCCCAGGTATGCTCATGACTCTCTCAGTCTCAAAATACGCTGAGCTCATCCAAACCTTCCGCGCCTTCCAAGTAGCTGGGACTATAGATGTGACACCACACCTAAGTTTTTGATTTATTGTAGAGATGAGGTTTCACCAAATTTCCCAGACTGGTCTTGAACCCCCGAGCTCAGGCAATCCTCATGGCTCTTCCTCCCAAAGTGCTGGGATTACAGGCATGAGCCACTGTGCCCGCCTGAAACAACTTCTGTATTAAAACTGTCTTAGTTTCCTATAACAGGCTGTGGGAGATTAACAGGTGCCTACTCAATATCCTTTCTTTCCTTCTTCTTAGTAGCAGGTCCTTACATCAATTAAGGTGGCAATGTGCTCAGGTAAAAAAAAATATCCAAATTTTCCTAACATATAAGAATGATCAATGAAAGCTACTGGGCAGATTTTAGGGGAAAGCTCTTTAAAGAGGCCTGACTCAGATGGAAGTTCCCTTTTATTCTTCCTCCAATCCTTTCTCCTTTTAATTCTTTCTAGGAATATGGCTGTGAAGGCTAGAGCTCTAGTAACCATTTTGGCAATCCTCAGGATGGAAAACACACACTAAAGATGGCTAGAAGAAAACCTTGCCAGGGAACCAATGCCTATGCAGCCACTGCGCTATCCCTAAAAGGTCTATCTACAGATTTCTTTTCTTTTCTTTTTAAAGTCAGGAACTCCAGGCTAGAGTGCAGTGCCATGATCATGGCTCACTGCAGCCTCAACCCCCTGGGCTCAGGCAATCCTCCTGCCTTAGCCTACTGATTATCTGGAACTATACACCTGGTTAATTTCTTGATATTTTTCTTTTCTTTTTTTGGGGGGGGTGGTAGAAATGAGGTCCATCTATGCTGCCCAGGACGGTCTCAAACTTCTGGGTTCAGGCAACCCATTTGGGTCTCCTCCCACTGTGGGAGCTTTTCTGTCCTCTCAATAAAGCCTGCTTTCTAAAACAAAAACAAAAACAAAAAACTCCTGGGCTCAAGCAATCCTCCTGCCTCGGCTTCCCAAAATACTGAGATTATAGACATAAGATACCATGACCAGTCTCTGTATATTTCTTTTATGTGATAAAAAACTAAACCTCTTACTGTTTAAGCCATTGAATTTCAGGTTTCTGTTACAGGCAACTATATACAGTCCTAACTAATCTACTTGAGCAAAACTCTATTGCATCATCATTCAGAAGTTGGCCACTTCATTTTATTTGGAAATGAGTCTCAGAGAATGCCTGCAGGTAAAGTCAAAAGTTTTCCTTAAGTAAATTTAACAATTATAACTATACTGCAATTGTTTGTTTACTGTCTACCCCTATTAGACTGTAACCTACCTGATGGAAGTCCACATACAGTACTTTTATCCCTATCACTTAGGATGATGGTTGGCTCATAGTATATGATCCTTAAATGTTCTGCTGAATTGAATTTTATTTTTGGAAATATGCTACTGTCCTTAGCAAATTTACTACAATTATTTACATAATGTCATTTACTAATTTAGAACAATACTTAGAACAACACTTTGTGTTTATACTAAAAAATATATACATTTTTTTCTGAAACAAATTTTTTTTTGAGCCAGGGTCTCACTGTGTCACCCAGGCTGAAATGCACTGGCATAATCACAACTCACTGTAGCCTTGAACTCCTGGGCTCAGGCGATCCTTCCACCTCAGCTTCCTGAGTAGCTGGGACTACATGTGGATGCTACCACATCTGGCTAATTTTTTTATTTTTTGTAGAGACAAGGTCCTGCTATGTTGCCAAGGCTGGGCTTGAGTAATCCTTCCCCCTTGGTCTCCCAAAGTGCTAGGATTACAGGTGTGAGCCACTGTGCCCAACTAAAAGTTTTAGGGGAAAAAAAATCGAACTGCCCATTTTGGGGTATGTTTAAAGATACCTGGCTGACATATTGTTTTCAGGAAGAAGTGGAATTTCCAGAACTTTTGTGCTGGCAATTATTATCTCTTGGCTTGCAGTAGCAACTGTCTTCCCAGTGATTCGATGCACCTGGTAAAATGCATGAGGTCGTAAATATCGATCATCTGCTGTCCCAATAAACATTTGTAGATTTATCGGTTTTTCATTATAGCCCAGGAGCTAATTAGAAAGAACAAACACAGAAAAGCACAATTCATTATCCATGAATTTTACAATAAGCTTACAATATTAAGACTATCATATCTGTATCATATATTGTTGATACATAAAATGTAATTTCAAAAAAGATAAACAAAAAAAAAGTAATGAGCGAACAGTCCTCCAAACTTCTGAAGTAGTTTAAGAGATTAAAAACACTAGAATATGTTGCACAACAAGACGTGGGGTGTTGTTTTTTGTTTTATAATTATCTGGACTTAACAAATATTTTAGAGTGCCTTCTGACTCGGCTGATTATGTACTCTGAGCAACATTAACAGTTCAGAACAGACCTCAAGACTTGGGTGTGTGCGAAGGCCCTCTAACAGGCAATTAAAATCAGAGGCGCTTTGTTTTAGTAGAGAAAGTCTGAAAAACCCTATTCTGTATGTTACAAACTTAGAATTTCCACTGACTTAACAAGCCTAGGCAACTTGACTTTTCTTGGTATCCTTCACAATTGCTGAGGTTAAGATGAGTACACGAGACTGAAGTGATGACCAGGAGATGCTGGAGGCAAAAATTGTAAATACAAGAAAGGAGGCAATAAAAAGAAATAAAGCAGCCGAGTGCAGTGGCTCACGTCTGTAATCCCAGCACTTTGGGAGGCAGAGGCGAGAGAACTGCCTGATCTCAGGGGATGGAGACCAGCCTGGGCAACTTAGGGAGACTTGGTGAGACCATGTCTCTACAATAAATCAAAAACATAGCTGGGAGTGGTGGTGTGTGCCTGTGGTTCTAGCTACTTGGAATGCTGAAGCAGAAGGATCGCCTAAGTCCAGCAGGTTGAGGCTGCGGTAGCCATGAGTGTGCCACTGCACTCCAGCCTGGGCAACAGAGTGAGACTCCCACTTAAAAAAAAAAAGAAAGAAAGAAAGAAAGAAAGCCTGAACAAGTATACAAACAGCCCTCAAGGAGACTTGGATGACTGAGTAATAACAGTTTTTTGTTTTTCTTTTCCTCCCCCTCCTCTCCCCGAGCAGTAACAGTTTGACCCATCTTCCTGCAGATATCAACTATACTCTGGAACAAATATAAAGAGTGACTTGAAAGTGTGGAGAGCAACCAAAAGTGGAGATGATAACTTGAGGGAATAACAAAAGGCATTTCCTGTTTTTAAAAATAGCTTTTAACCTGAGGGAACGCCACAGTCCATGGCTTACAGACAGCAGTTGAAACTCCCATAAAAAACCTAGTCTGCCAGGCACAATTGCTCATGCCTGTAATCCCAGTACTTTGTGAGGCGAAGGAGAGTATTTTGCTATGGATTTTAGTATTTTTTTGAGTCAGAGTCTCACTCTGTCACCCAGGCTGGAGTGTAGTGGCATGCTCACGGCCACTGCAGCCTCAACCTGCTGGGCTAGTGCTCCTTCTGCCTCAGTAGTATTCTAAGTAGCTGGAACCATAAGTGTGTGCCACCACATCCAGCTAAACTTCTGGATTTATTGTGCAGACAAGGTCTCACCATGTTGCTCAGAATGGTCTCGAACCCCTGGACTCAGGCAATCTTCTCGCCTCCACTTCCCAAAGTGCTGGAATTAGAGGCGTGAGCCACCATGCCTGGCTCAGGCAATCCTTCTGCCTCAGCCTTCCAAGTAGCTGGGACTACAGGTGCACACCACCACATCCAACTAATTTTTTGATTTACTGTAGAGATAAGGTCTTGCCATGTCATCCAGACTGGTCTTGAACTCCTAGGCTCAAGTAATTCTTTCATCTCAGCCTCCCACCTGCAGAGATTATAGGCATGAACCACCGTGACTGGCTAAAATAAGTAATACAAGATTTTGCTTGCTATGTTGCCCTGAATGGTCTTGAACTTCAGGTCTCAAGCAACCCTCCTACCTTGGCCTCCCAAGGCCTCCCTTCTACCTTGGCTGGGATTACCGACATAAGCCACAGTACCCAGCTACTTTTAGCTCTTAAATTTAGGTCTTTGATTTATTTTGAGTTCATTTTTATATGTGGTGTGAAGTAAGAGTCCACGGTTTCATTCTTTTGCATGTTGATATCGATTTCCCAACACCATTTGTTGAAAAACTTTACTTTCTCTATTGAATGGTGCCCTTGTTGAAAACCATATGACCTTATATGTGAGAGTTTATTTCTGGGCTTGCTATTCTATCCCAGTGGTCTGTCTTTATACTAGTACCATTCAGCTTTAATTACTGTAGCTTGATAGTAAGTTTCAAACTGGGAAGTGTGTGTGAGTCCTCTAACTTTGTTCTTCTTCAGAACTGTTTTGCCTTTTCAAGGCCTTGTGCAGCTCCGTATTAATTTGAGAATCTGCTTTTCCATTTCTTCAAAAAAGGCTGTTAGAATTTTGATAGGTCATTGCATCGAATCTGTAGATCACTTTGGGGAGCACTGACATCCTAACAATGTTAAGACTTCCTATTTATGAGCACAGGATCTCTTTCAGTTTATTTGGATTATCTTTACTTTCTTTTTTTTTTTTTTTTTTTGAGTTGGAGTCTCACTTTGTCGCCCAGACTGGAGTGCAGTGGCCGCTTCCGGCCACCGCAACCTCGACCTGCTGGGCTCTGGCGATCCTTCCGCCTCAGCCTTCCAAGTAGCAGAAACTACAGGTGCGCACTACCACATCCGACTGATTTTTGATTTATTGTAGAGATGAGGTCTTGCCAAGTTGCCCGGGCGGGTCTCGAACCCGCGGGCTCAGGCAATCCACTCACCTCAGCCTCCCAAAGCGCTGGGATTACAGACTGAGCCACCGAGCTCGGCTTATCTTTACTTTCTTTTAGCAAAGTTTTATAGTTTTCAGTGTACAAGTTTTACAACTCCTTGGTTAGATTTATTCCTAAGTATTTATTTATTTTAGATGCTATTATACATGGAACTGCATTCTTTATTTCCTCGTCGGATTGCTCATTGTTGATATATAGAAACACAACTGATTCGTGTGTGTTGGTTTTCTATCCTGGAAACTTTGCTGAACTTGTTTATTAGCTCTAGTAGTTTTCTGACAGATTATCTGGGATTTAAGACATAGAATCATGTCATGTGTGAATAGAGATAGTTTTACCTGTTTCTTTTCAACTTGGATGCCTTTTATTATTTTTTATTTTTTTAGAGACAAGGTATCACTATGTTGCCCAGGCTGGCCTCAAATGATCCTCCAGCCTTGACCTTCGAAGTGCTGGGATTAAAGGCTACCAAATCTGATCTAGATTGACTGTCATATATTGAATCACTATTACCTTCCGCATAAAAATCCCACTTGGTCATGAGGTATAATTCTTTTAATGTGCTGTTGAATCTGGTTTGCTAGTATTTTGTTAAGGATTGTTCATCTATGCTCACAAGGGATATTGGCTTGCAGTTTTCTTGTTTTTTTGCTCCCCCATGATTATCCATTCTAGTTTAAATACTGCCATGGCCCTACTGAAATTTCTCCATGTTTTCAAAAATAAAGTCCATCTTTTCTATGAAATAATTTAGCATTTTATAAATATTCTTAAGTCTCTTTCTGATAACTCCAACGTCTAATCTATGCCATCTCTGGTTCTGTTAACATTGATGGCTTTCTCTCTTTACTGTGAGTCACATTTTCTTGTGTGTTTGGTCATTTGTTTATTGTATACTAGACATTTTGTATTAAAAAAACTCTGGAGACTGAAGCAGAAAATATGTACCCCCAGAAAAATGCATGCTATTTCTTTTGTCAGGCCTCAGTTCTTAAGCTGTGTCTGGACTTTATTGACGTTTTAGTCTGATTCATTACAGCATTGGTTTCAAAGGCTTTATGGGTAGAATAAGTCTTTACAGCAGGGCATGGATTCTAAGTGCTGGCCAGATTCAAGATCTGCCTATGCTTCACAACCTGGATGTTTAATTTTTAAATCTATGAGGAGTGCTTTATGCCAGGGGTCCCTGGGTCTGCAGACTGGTACCTGTCCATGGCACAGCAGGAGGTGAGTAGTGGGTGAGTGGAGCTCTGCCTCCTGTCAGATCAGCAGCAGCTTTAGATTCTCATAGAAGCATGAACACTATTGTGAACTGCGCAAGTGAGGGATCTAGATAGTGTGCTCCTTATGAGATTCTTTTATTTTTTTTTTTTGAGTTGGCGTCTCACTCTGTCAGCCAGCCGGGAGCGGCCACTGCAGCCTCAACCCGCTGGGCTCCGGCGATCCTGCCGCCTCAGCCTTCTGAGTAGCCGGAATTACAGGCATGCGCTACCACGCCCGGCTGATTTTTTGATTTATTATAGAGATGAGGTGTTGCCAAGTTGCCCAGGCGGGTCAGGAATCCTTATGAGAGTCTAACGCCTGATGACCGCCCCCTCCAGTCGGTGGAAAAAATGTCTTTCACAAAACCAGTCCTTGATGCCAAAAAGGTTGGGGACTGCAGCTTTATGCTCTTCAGTCCTCCTCTTTCATTTTGGAACCTCAATATATCTCTTTTAGCTTTGTTACCAGATCTTGGAACTTCAGAGAGTGTCTTGGAGAGATTTCTCTTACATCTTTTGTAAATGAGAGCCTAGAGTGCCTGAGGTTGTTTCTGCCTCCTAGTAGGTAAAACTATGAAGTGAGAGGATCTCAGCTCTCCCCCCAGGCCTCCTCTATTTTGGGATGGTGGCTTCCCTGCTTGTGGTGGAGTCTTACAGGTGAGTGTTTTATTACTTCTGCTTGCCCCTGGCATTACAATGGAGTTAGTAACCAGGCAACTTCATAATTTAATGGCTATCCTCCTCTATCCAGAAAATGCAAATAATTTTTGCTTGTTAGATAATATAACTCACTCAGGATGGTTTTCAATCCTATAACATTTACAGAGAAGGAATTAAAACCTGGACCACTTCAATAGCCTTGTAACTGCTGTTTTCACACTTATTCCCCTACAGCATACTCTCTGTCCAGGAACCAGAACAAACTTGTAACATAAACTGGATAACTGTACCTCTCTGCTAAGAAATCTCTAATGGTCTCCTTCCACATTGAGAA